AGCTGTTGAACATTTAGTCAGATAAAATACGACCGACTGATCGGTTCTACGATTTCAGTCTGTTTTCTGGTTTAACCGACAGTTTGATGATGATCCAGAGCAAAGTTTGCAGTCGGTTTTTTTTTTCCACGCTATTTTTCGGAATGCAGGAGACAAAATAAACCATTTTTCCTCATAATTTCTCTACATTGACAAGATCAGATCTTAAAGGAAATTACATCATTGTCGCTGTTGTTCTGACTGTCAGAACACACGAGTCATTCTGAAAGCGGTCGTGTTGGTTAGAAAACCTCCATCCCAGCAGTTTTTCTGCCACCGCTCCAGAGTTCTTACCTGAGCACGAGGCGACTCCTCTGACAGCGAGCCACAGGGTCAGCGTCCACAGGGCCGGCGCTGCCATCGTCTCCACCGATCATCAACGTCTGATGGGAGTCCGCGGTTCTGTTATTGCCCCCGGCGGCGCTTTATCAGACATCATCTGTGCTCTGCAGCTGAAGGGAAACGAGGAGTTTCCTGTGTGAAGCTGCCCACGTGTGCACGACTTCCACACGCCTGTACATGTGCAAACATACATGATCCTGCATCAGACAGGATTACAGACCATAATGTGAACACTGGGTCTCAGGTGAACTGCTGTCAGGTAGAGTCTTGTGTCACTGATTCTCAGAACCGAGACGTTCTGCAGCCGGACTTCACTGAAGCATCCGAGATTAGTACGAGTTAAAACAGACGTGTTCTCAGGAGGTTAATCAGCACCCTGGAAGTGTTCCTCGAACTTTTTCTGACTTATAATCTTTTGTTCTGTGTGTTCCTACAACAGTTCAACCCGACTGTGCAATAAAACCTGGTTCTGATTCTGGTTTAGTAGGAGGAGCTAGCAGCCAATGCTAAGCTAACGTTCACCTACGAATTTTAATAATACAATGTTCAGGTTCTCTATTCATTGTCTGAATAGAGAACCTGAACACTGTATTATCAGTAAGAAGACATTATGAACGTTTTCCAGCTAGAATTTTAATAATGTTTTAACGTCTGATGATCAAAGAGCGTTTTAGGGATAAATGATCTTTTCAAATAATGTTCCCACGAGGTTTAAGGTGAACTACGACACGTTTTACCCGCAACGTTCGGAGAATCGTTCTCAAACCAACAGTTTAAAATAAACATCCTATAATGTTGTGTATTAACGAAGGTGGAACGTTCTTCTAGAAAATGTTCCCACAATGTTCCACAACGTTACATGATTTAAAAAAATAAATAAAATTTGTCAACGCAAAACTGAAAGAAACGTTTTAACAATATTAGAACATAAAGGGGGAGAATAATCACTGTCAGCACATTTTACTGTGAAGGTTCCACTTCTTACCACAGAAATACAATCAGAGTGAGTTATCTGTCACTTCACATCCTTCCTGTCTCACCAAGTGTTCATCGCTGTGAGGTTTTCCTGCTTTGGAGCCGATTTCTGTTTAGCTCTCAGTCACACAGTTTCCCACCGTCTTGGTTCTGATATTTGCAGATTTAAGACAATCGTCCTGACACGGATGTGAAAAAATATCTCTGGTGACACTGTTTTATGTTGAGATTCGTGTGAAAATAGTTGTTTCATGTTTTTTCTCCTTAATCTAAAGACTAATGATAGATGATAGAAGATCTAAATAGCAAAACACAACATGTGCAGCTGAACCTTATAATAAAAAAATAATTGAGTATAAAATAATCTAATCTAATATAATATAATATAAAATAATATAATATAAAATCATATAACATAATATGATGTAATAGAAAATAAAATAATCTAATCTAATGTAAAAAAAAATCTAATATGATGTAATTTAAAATAATATAGTATAAAATAATCTAATCTAATATAAAATAATATATAATATAATATAATTCAATATAATATAATATAATATAAAATAAGAGCTTCTAGGTGGTGAAATGACTGGATGTTAATGTCTTTGAGAGCTGCAGTAAAAACGCACACAGTTTTATCTGTTGGTAAAGAGACGATAAACCGTGTTAAAATGTGAATGTTAAAATGTCAAAAGGTTCCAAACAGGATTTATTGAGAATTCAGCCTTTAAATGGTTGTTTTCGTGCTCCGTGCTCGGCCCATGGAGTCGGTTCTCTGTCAGCGTTGACCTGGGTCTGCTCAGGACTGGATGTTCTGCACAAACACATGAAAACGAATCCCGATAGCTCCAGATAATAATCTGCTCGCCGCGCTGGAAGGCTGTGAAGCGCTGAGATATTTAACGCAGATAAAACTTTGTTTTCACGATTTACAGGAGGTTAAACTGAGAACAACGGGGTGGAAAGTTTTAAATCCAGGGGAAGTCCCTCTGCTGCACCTCCACATTAAAAGTCTGTGAATGTCTGATCGACTCTCTGCGGTTTGGAAAAATGACGTTTAGTTTGACATTCAGCCTCTTTGTTCTGAAACCTCGAGCAGATCTGAAGCTGTGACGTCTGAGGGTTTTGCATCTGACTTATTTTCATGCAAATCCACAAAGAACAGGTTCCCTCTGGAGGCTTCAGCGGCGGTGATGCAACAGAGATGCAGCTGCAGGATTCAGTTGGTCTGCAGCTGCAGCTCGAGCTGCTTCCTCTTCCTTCCTCTGCTGCAGGATTCTGTTCAGCAGGAGTCGAACACAGCCTCTAAAACCACCCGAACTTCACAGATAAACCACGAAATAGGCGCTAATCTGTGACTGGCTGCATTTAAAATGTCTTAAGGTGGTAAATGAATGTATTTTAAGATGAAAAATGGAGGTTTTCTGTTTTGTTACTGCAGTTGTTGTGAAATATTTTTCTTTTAAAATGACGAATAAGAAACAAAACACGATCTGATCAGTCAAAAATACATTTTACTTGTTGTTCCTTCACCTGGATGTTCAAGTGAGGAGCCTCGGACACCGAAGGTCGACATTACAAATCAAACTGTAGGATTTTATTCAAATAGAGTGAAACACAAAGTACTTTAAGAAACAAATGGAGAATAAAACTATAAAAACAGGCACCGAGGAAAAAGAGGAGAAGCTTTGAAATTTAAAAGAAATAATTGCAAAATAGGAAAACAAAAAATTCTAATAAAGGACGGATGAAACAGATTGGAATGCATGAATAAATAGACAAAAATAATCTAAATAAATAAACATTAAATAATTTAAAGCCCACATTCGGCTTTTTTTTTTTTACCCATCAACATTCAAATAATTTGTAATATTTTCTGGATTTTTTTAACGTGTGACAAAAAGAAAATATGTCATATGTTAGTATTGTGATCGTTATTATTAATATTTTAAATTGACTAATTATTTTGTGTGGCAAACGTCAGACTGAAATTAATATTTGCAGCATTTTTATTGGTAAATAAAACGGCTGTTTGGATGCATTTGTTCAAGAAATATTAAATTTTCTGATCTCCATGCTGGTGTTTTTCTGGTAAACTCTTTCTACAGCATATATTTTATATATTTTATATAATTTATATATTTTATATATTTAGTCTGGTCCTGTGAGCCCTGACAGGAAAGTTGAATCCAGTCAAACGTAATATTTTATGTTTTAAAGTGCTTTTTGCTCCTTGTCATACATTCAGATGTGAACAGGTTCTGCTGCGTTCTGCTGAATCAACCTGCAGCTGGTTGAAGCTTCTCTGCTGCATCGAAACCTGCAGCTGCTCGGAACCACTAGAGGTCAGAGTTTGATGACTAACCGGGTGAAAACTGGACCAGGTGGCCTGAAGGGTGACACGGATCCGAATATAACACCGGAGTACGATCATAGGAGCGGAACCGGACCGAGCCGAGCCGAACCCTCCGAGCCGCGATGGGCCGAAGCTGGTTCTGGGTTGGGCAGGACAGGAAACAAGGCACCGGGAACGCGCAGGGCATGGATACGCGCTCCCGCTGAGTTTTTGGGATCCGGTGTGGAACTGAGCATGCGTCAAGTCGGACCGCAGAACACCGGGGCTCAGGCAGCGTTGGCTTCAAAATAAGAGCAAATGTAGTCTCTTAATTTCTGTTTACTCGATTAAAAAAAAAAAAATAAATAAACAAAAAAAGCAATTTAAGCTATTTATTCCTCAATATAACTATTTTTGTAATTCCTTATTATTAATTGTAATTATTTCTGCATTTTTTCATTTTGATGATGTAAGCAGGGGGTTGCCAACATGAGGGTCGTGACCCCAACAGGATCCACCTGTCAAATCAAATTGTTTCTGCTGCTTGTTTTTATGTTTTTATAGATTTTTAGTTGTGAGTTACAGGACACATGGCTGTTATTCTGATTGAAAATATTTTTAAAACTAGTAGTTTATCTGCATTTTGAAGTTTTTACATTATTGTCATTACGAGTTTGGGACAGTTCTTCAGTAAAATACTAAATAGAAATATAAACTTCTTACTTTAATAACTGCAACTGATGCAAATGGGTCACATGAACTCAAATGTCTGATTGTTCCTGATAGAATGTAGAATTTACCTGTTAATATATTTTACTAAATTGGTAAAGTTTCTTTTGTGTATTTACTGGTGATCCATAAATGTGAATTTTAGAAATATTCTTCTTCATAAAGGTGCGTTTTTGACGTCTTCGTTTTCTTGTTGCGACGAACTAAAGCAGCTTCTACATTATCAACATTCTCTGTTTTGTACATGTTACTGGAAAATGTGCTTTTCTATGTTAAAGTTTCATGTCTTAAATGCATCCAGAGTTACTTAATTTATTTAAATTGATTTATCTGTATTCTCACTAATCACAAACTAAAAAATAACAGGAAAAAAAAAAGAAAAATAATTTGAAATGTTTTTGAAGCTTGATGTTGATCAGTAGCTACATGTTTTATAAATATTCGGGGTCTAACAGGTGTGTTGTTGAGCCTGTTTCTCCTCATTTTTCTTCTTGTGGTTCAGCAGCTCCTGCAGCAGCGAGCACGTCTTATTGTGAAAGCTCCTCCCGGATGTGCTCATGCTGCCTGCCGGTGGCTTGACGCAGTCTGTCGGTTCAGTGGCAGCAGGGAAATCACTGAAATCTGGGATATCTGGGAAAAGGGCAGTCGGTGAAAACCGGGACTAAACCGGCTCTAATCCCGGCCAAGCGTAGACCGTCGCCCCCCGGAGCCTCCGGCGGACCCTCCCGCTCCGCGTCCCCGCTGCTGGCTGCGGTTTTTCTGCCTCTTAACCTCCGCTGGATCCGCACAGTAAGTAGCCCGATCCCCCTCCAGCTCATCCCGGCTCGTTCCGCCCGGTTCTGTCGCTCTCCGGAGCCAGACCGTGTGCGGGTAAAACGGAGGCGGCGGCGCCGTAACGGAGCCGCTAAAGCAGCGGATCCGGTTAATTAAGGAGCCAATTAATGGTGCATGTGCAGAGAAAGGAGGGGGGTGGAGGGGGGTCACAGCCGAAGCCTTTCATTCACTTCATCCGGCTGCAGACGCGCACCGATCCGCTCTTTGTGCGGCGGTTCGGGCCTGCACGGCTCCTCCGTCCGGCCTGGAGGCGCCGGTTCGCTGGGGAGCCCCGGCCGGCCGGCGGCGGCGGCTCTCCGGCGGACCGGAGGCCGGAGGCTGCGGGGTGACACGGCCGAGGCGTGGCGCTGATCCGGAGCTTTGGGCGTGTTCAGCTGCTGCTCCAGCTGACGGAGGCTCAGAGAGAGCGGAGCTGCAGGCTGGACAAGGTTCAGGACCAGGATGGTTTAGGAGGCGTCCAGCAGACATGCAGGCCCGCATCCGTCTGTCTGTCTGTTAGTAACCTATCTATCTATCTATCTATCTATCTATCTATCTATCTATCTATCTATCTATCAGTAACCTGTCTGTCTTCAATCTGGCTTCAGCCTGTCTGTCTGTCTGTCTGCTGTCTCACCACCTGCTCAGTGCTCAGGTCTCTCCTACCAGGTGGACCAGCCTCACATCACTGGACTAATGTGATCAATCTGGAGGTTTTTGTTCAGTAGTCAGTCTGGTTGATGCAGGTACACCAGGGATCTCCTGCTCTGGTCCTCGTGAGCTCCTGTCCTGCAGGTTTCAGACGTTTCCGTACTGCAGCACACCTGACTCACGTTCATGGATCATGAACAGACTTTTGCCAACAAGCTGTTGGAGATCCATGAATGTGAGTCAGTACGGAAACGTCTAAAACCTGCAGGACAGGAGCTCACGAGGACCAGAGCTGGAGATCCCTGAGGTAGAAGATCTGAGGAGCTTCAGTCGATGCTCAGAGTTGACCATGTTGAGTTTGGGATGAACCTGAAGATGGTTTTGCTCCTTCAGTCTGCAGTGGAGCTGCTGTGGAACGGTGGTGAGCTGCACAACCTCAAACTGCAAGATCTAGATGTTCTGTAACCAGCATCCTATCAAAAACAAGTCTGACACCAAGTTCGACCCTTTTCTTCCTCATTCTGTTGATATTTTAATAGATGATTGAAGGTTCTGACCCATAAACTGACTGTAGGATTCAGGGTCCTTCTGTTGGCCACAGGAGTTCTGGACAAGAAACTCAAACATTCGGTTTTTGTGGGATTTGTATGTCGAACAGTAAATGTTCCTCAGATGTCAGTGATTGAGGCGGTTCTGAGGTGAAGCTGGTCCGACTCACCTGGTCCAGATTACTGGAACCGGTCCTTACTGGCCCATCATCACCAAAATACGGGAAACCACAACGAGCAGCGACCTGCCGAACCGAAAACGTTCTAAATGTGCGTCTTTGCCAGTTTTTCGGTGGATTGTCCGTTTTAATCTTTATTCTCCACAAACGCTCCATCAGAACTTCAGCGCTTCTGTTTTTGTGGAGACGCTGGTTGATGATGAGGTGCAGTCGGACCGTTCTGCATCAGCCAGACTGCTTTACAAATCAAACATAATGAAAACGAAGCTGAGGAACGTCTGTGACTCTGGTGAAGACGTGATGTTTTCAGACTGATGAAGCTGCTTCTGGTCTGCTGCTGCTGCTCACATGCTTCCATTCAGCTCATTTCTTGTTGCAACCAAATCTTCTTTTCAGTGTTTCTCTCTGGTTTTTTGACTTAAAGTCAGTCTGGCTGATGCAGGTAGAAGATCTGAGGGGTTTAGATTTAATGCTCCTGTTGGTGTAGAAGAGGCTCCATGACTCCCTGTTGGCGTCACATGGTGTCCTGATGCAGTTTGGTTTCTGTTCAAGGAGCTGAGTCGACCCGTTATCGATCCGTCCAACTATCGGTGTTGACCCTTTTCTCACGTTGTGCTGCCATGTGGTCGCTTTACGTCTCCTGATGGTTGTTTTAGTTCCATTTTGGTCTCTTTCTGTCAGTTTGTGTTTGATTTTAGTCCCTTTGCGTCTTGTTGCTGCCATTTTGTCTCCTCGAGGTTCGTTTAGTGTTTCGTTGTGGTCGGCGTTCGTCTCTTCGTGGTTGTTTTTGTCCCTGTTTTGGTCATTTCGGGTCCAAGGAGGTGAATGAAATGTTCAGTCAGATAAAACCAGACAGTTCCATTTGACCAGTTATTGGTCAGATCTGATTATTGGTGTTTTTTATTTTATTCTAACCAATTACCGATACATAAATTAGTTTGATTTCGCGCTGCTTTGACTCGGCAACGTCCCGCTCACGGCTCGATCTGATTGGTCACAAACAGCAGCAGCACTGGAGGTGAATGCAGACTTGTGTTGTTTCATTTTTAGTTGTCACTTATCGGCCTCGCTGATCACTGATGATCGGCTTCAGCTTTGAAACCAGTCGGTCGACTCCTGACCGGTGATGTCGTCTTCGGTTCCGACGTCCAGATGTGGAGCTGAACAGAAAACGGGTGTAGAACCTTCTGTCCTTTGTTGCATCGATGCTGATGCTTGTTCTTCTTCAGTCTAAAGTGAGTCCTCCTCCAGATGTTGGGTTCCTGCTCCGGCTCAGATGTTGGAGGTTCTTCAGACTGTAGAGCTGAAGCTGAATCGCTCCGACGCTCTTTAAACGTCTCCTCCATAAGTGGCAGCAAACTGGGTCAGATCCGGAGCGTCCTGGTGGAGCCGAGGGTGAACTGGAGTATAAAATCCCCGACGCCCTACTTCAGTCCGTCCGCTGGTCCCTGATCTCCAGAGGCTCAGACGTCTGGAGGGCCTTTAGCTTCTCTTGGTTCTGGTGGAGCCTTGAGATGAAGATTGACAGAAATTTTTTTAATCGAGCTGCAAGAAAGTCTGTATGGACTGAAGTCGACTCTTTAAGTGATGGAGCGGTTGCAGAGAAGACGCCTCGTCAGCGTAAATGAATCCTGATCATCAGTTCTCAGGGTGGTGCTGCTTCATTTTCTGCTGATTTTTGAGTGTTTTTGTGGTAACTTGAACCTTTTTCGTGGTGATTTCTTGTCCGTTGTGGTGATTTGACATCATTTTGTGGTAATTCTGCGTCTTTCTGTGGTGATTTTGGGCCTTTTTGTCATTTTTCCACCATTTTGCAAATACTTTTGCACCTTTATGTGGTGATTTTGAGTGTTTTTGTGTTGATGTTGTATCTTTTTGTGGTGATTTTCAGTCTTTGTAGTAACTTTGCTTCTTTCTGTGGTGGTTTGGCATCTTTTTGTGGTTATTTTTTCCTCATTTCTCAGATGATTTTTGTTCTTTGTGGCAGTTTTGCCTCTTTTTGTGGCCATTTCTTGCCCTTTGTGGTGATATTTCATCATTTTTTAATATAATTTTGCCTCTTTCTGTGGTGATTTTGACTCTTTGTGGTGGTTTTGACTCTTTCTGTGGTGGTTTGGCATCTTTTTGTGGTAATTCTGCTTCTCTTTGTGGTGAATTTGCCGTTTTTGTTGAGATCTTGCTTCACTTTGTTTTACGCCATTTTGTGATGATTTTCTGTCTTTCTGTGGTGATTTTGTGATTTTTCGTGATTCATTTATTTCTGCTTTTTGTAAAGTTTAAACTCCAGTTTTTTTGAACAAAATGCAGAAACACTGAAGACTTGTTTTAAACCAGTCGGTTTGGAGTCGACTCGGTAAATGTTAAACGAGTCGGAGCCGTTTTGTTCCTTTGTGTCGCTGGTTTTGCTGTATTTTGGTTGTTTTGTGGGTCGTGTCGTACATTTTGTGTCTGTTTGTGTTGATTAAAGGCTGCAGATGTTGGATCGACCTCTGGTTTGTGATTCAGGTTGTGTGTTGTCCCGTTACTGCTGCCTTCTACTTCATAGTGTGCTCGCCACAGAATCCCAGCTGACCGACACTTTAGTCTAAACTGAGTTTTCTTGGAGCTGCTCGTCGTTTCCGGTTGATTTGTGTTGAACTTCAGGTTGGTGTCGGCTGTGGGGCACGTTGTGGTCGAACACAATCTGTGTTTTGCACAAACAGGATATGACAGAAGACTCATTAAAGTCAATCAAACTGTGACTCTGGAACGTTTCAGACGATTAAACTTGACAACAATCAGCATATTTGGACAGAGATTAGATCAGGAGTTGTCTGTGCTGTTGGGGAGCTGTTGTACGTCCACAGTTCACTCACAACGGTCACTTTTCCCACAAAACAACGCCTCCAGCACAAACCGCCGACGGTCAGGTCGTAGTATGAAGCTCTGAGGACGCAGCAGCAGTGATCTGCAGCACAGAGATGTTTTTAATTGTTTACCAGAGATGCTCCAATCAGAGCACTTCTTAATTGATCCTGTGTTGGTGTTCGCTGTGTTGAAGAGTGAACGCTCACCTGGTAGAGGAAGAGAGAAACGTCCTCGAGACGTCGTCCAGGCCACAAAGACCATCAGAGAGGAGAACTGAACTCATCAAATGCAGGTTTATAACGTCTTTTGGAGGTTGTACGGAAGCCTGGAAGCGCCATAATTCACCTGTTTGCCTTTTATGCGGCACCTGAGCTTTGAAACCCGGTTGTCGAGCGGCTGTGAGCCGTTTTATTGGATGTGAGCGCCGTTAGCTTCGACGCTATCTGTTGTTTAGATTCGGTTGTTTTTACTGGTTGGTGAACCATCACAGCGCTTCCAATGGATTTGAGCCAAATAGTCGTATTTGACAGATTTTGTTTTGTTTTGTTTACTCGGTTGTCTTGTTAAAAAAAACAACAACAACCAACTAACAAAGCATCAGGGAGCAGCTGCAGAACTTTTCACCGTTGAACATATGATCCGATCATTTAGTTTAGATGTGTGTTGTTCAACTGTGTCCAGGAAAATGGAGGAAAGTCGCTGAAAACCAAACTACAAGGAAATATCAGCTAAACATTCAGAAATGTTAAAA